CGTGGGGGACGAGGCCCAGAGCAAGAGGGGGATCCTCACCCTGAAGTACCCCATCGAGCACGGCATTGTCACCAACTGGGATGACATGGAGAAGATCTGGCACCACACCTTCTACAACGAGCTGCGCGTGGCTCCCGAGGAGCACCCCGTGCTGCTCACAGAGGCTCCCCTCAACCCCAAGGCCAACAGGGAGAAGATGACGCAGGTACTGGCGCGGTGGCCGCCCCTTGCGCTTGCGTCTCATTCACAAACCTCCCTTTGTTACGGCATCTTAAACCTGAGTTGTTTTTCTTTTTTTCTTTTTTTCTTTTGTCTCCGACGTTTTCAGGGTTCTGTACTCCTGGCATTTCTTCCCTGACGCCTCAGGTTTCTTTCGTTTGTGTTTCTGCCTGCATTCTTTGCTTTTTTCCCTTCACACACTGATTTTTTTTTTTGCATGTCAGCATGTGTGTTCTAACATGGGTGCGAGTGACATGGCATGTTACTTGTCACTAATTGATTTATTATTTCCCTCCCCCTTCTTCCTCCCAGATCATGTTTGAGACCTTCAACACCCCGGCCATGTACGTGGCCATCCAGGCCGTGCTGTCCCTGTACGCCTCCGGTCGTACCACTGGTATTGTTATGGACTCCGGGGATGGTGTCACCCACACCGTGCCCATCTACGAGGGTTATGCTCTGCCCCACGCCATCCTGCGCCTGGACTTGGCTGGCCGTGACCTGACAGACTACCTCATGAAGATCCTGACGGAAAGAGGCTACAGCTTCACCACCACAGCCGAAAGGGAAATCGTCCGTGACATAAAGGAGAAGCTGTGCTATGTCGCCCTGGACTTCGAGCAGGAGATGGCCACGGCTGCCTCTTCCTCCTCCCTGGAGAAGAGCTATGAGCTGCCTGATGGCCAGGTGATCACCATCGGCAACGAGAGGTTCAGGTGTCCAGAAGCCCTCTTCCAGCCCTCCTTCCTGGGTAGGTGTGGGCTGGGCTGTACCCCCAGGCTTGCCTCTGGCGTGGGCTCGGTGTGACCAAAGCCAGGCGCTGCGTGGCTGCTCACCAGCTGGTGACACTTCTTGTTTCCCTTCCTCCCCAGGCATGGAGTCCTGCGGCATCCATGAGACCACTTTCAACTCCATCATGAAGTGCGACGTGGACATCAGGAAGGACCTGTACGCCAACACGGTGCTGTCCGGAGGCACCACCATGTACCCTGGCATCGCCGACAGGATGCAGAAGGAGATCACAGCCCTGGCGCCCAGCACGATGAAGATCAAGGTAAGAAACGCTCCCGTTGTCCTGTGGCGGCGCCCGCTGGCCCCGGCAGGAGAAGGCCCCGGCCGCTCTGACCCTGCACCGCTTTCCTCCCACAGATCATCGCCCCGCCTGAGCGCAAATACTCTGTCTGGATCGGCGGGCGCATCCCGGCCTCCCCCCCCACCCTC